ACGAGCTGATGGGGCGCGATGCTCGGCAGCGCGACGCTTTTCCCGTGCCGCCTTTAGCGGCGGATGCTCGGGCCAGAGCCTGCCCGGGCCGACGGGGGGCGCCAGCGCGCCCAGCGCGGGGCGGCGTGGCGGCGATGGGCCAACGATTGTATCGCTGACCTGAAACAGCCGAGCGGCCACTCGTCTCCGTTCTCGGCGCCCCCCGTTGACGTCTTCGTCTTGGCAGGCGAGCGCGATGGACCACATTGCGCAGGCTTATCTGCGATTGTAGCGGCCTCCGGCCAGCGCCGCCGATCCGGGGCGCCCCTGACGCGCGTGAGAATAGGCGACGACAACGACAAGGGACGAGCAGCCGTCGACGAGCCCCACCACGTCGAGCCCTACGACGAGGACTTGGCGCCCTTCCCTGACCTCTCGACGCCGCCAGTGGAAGTCGATGGCCTCGTCGACCGGGCCGAGCAAGAGTCTGCCGGGACGGGGGCGGCGCATGTCCTGGGTTAGGTCGCCCGCGTCGAACTCGAGGTCGGCCTCGGCGCCGCAACGCCCATGCGTCGACCCGATTTTGGCCGACAGCCCCAGGGCCCACGCAGGTATCGCGGGGAAGTTGCTCGAGGGCGGCATGATCAGCTCCCGTGCCGCACGGGCGGTCGGCCATTGCAGCGTGTTTTTTTCTTCGCTGGGAAGGTTCGCAGGAGCGCGCCCGGGCCCGTCTTCGACGCTCGGTTGGCGAACGAAGAGTTCGAGGCGCCGCCCAAGACCACGCTGCCGACGGCGGCCGCGCGGGCTGCCCTGGAGACCAATACCCCGCGACGGTGGCCCAGGGCGGCATCCAGCGCGTTTTTTTGACCGCGCGCTCGTGCCGAAGGGCATGGGGGGGCATTTCACGCCCCCCACCATCCCCAACCGCCTCTCGCACATTAAGGAGGTGGACGGGGGGCGGGGCGCGGTTGCCCATCGATTGCGCGCTGCAGCCCATGGCCCGCGCCCCGCCGATGAGACGGGGCTGGCCGCTGCGTTCTGCCGGAGTATCCTGCGGAGAATTCGCGCGCGCGACGGTTTTGGCGACTGCGACCTGATCGAGGACGGGCGCCCAAGCCCCGTGAGAGCGCGGCAGCGGCTGGCCACGTTGACGACGTCGCCATCGTCGGCAGTGGCTCGGCCGCGGTCACGGCCGCGAGGGGCCAGGTCCAGCGCGCGTTGGAGCGGCGGGGGCTTCCCGCGCATTCACTCGACGAGGCCCCCCGCCCCCCCCCGTCTCCATCTTCGCGGGCCTCAACGAAGGGTTGCAACAAAAACCAGGGGTTGCAACAAAAACCAAAAACCAAAAACCACGAAAGGTTGCAACAAAAACCAAAACCCGAAGGGTTGCAACAAAAACCAAAAACCGAAGGGTTTTTGTTGCAACCCGAAGGGTTTTTGTTGCAACCCTTGGTTTTTGTTGCAACCCTTCGCTCGAGATCAGCGGTGACTTTTGGGCTGCGACGGCGAGGCCTGCCGGCGTGATGACGCCTGGGCAAGCGATCCCTGCAGTCCTTCGGCGCGGAGCCGCGCGTCGCCCCGCATGCCCGAGGCGCTGTTGGTGCACATCGTGTGGGCAGTGATTTGCCAGAGATCAGGAGGGAAAAAAACACACAGACACAATTAATCCTCGATTCCCAGGAAAATATGGGAAAATATGGGAATTGGGGGGGAAGACAAAAACCCAGAAAATATGGGAAAATATGGGGACTATTTTTATTTGTGTGTATTTATTTGTGTGTCCTAATTTCCCTTTAAGAGAGACCTCATCCACCCTGTCGTCGGTCTACGCCTTCAAGTCTTTGAAGGATCCTGGCGCGAGGCCACCTTGGGGCTGGGTGGTGTTCGAGCTTTGGTGTGGCCAATGCCACCCCTCTCTGGACTGCACCTATCATCATCGGCGCAGGCGTTTGCACTCGCCGGCTGGGGGGGGCCCGACCAGCCGCGGTCGGGCGCCAGGCGGAGAGGTGGAGGCATCGATGTGCGTCGGCTGTTTGGGCATGGGCGAATGCGCCGGGCCTCGATGGGGGCTGCTGGTGACCCAGATTCCCTGGGGGCCGTCGCCAGGGACTCGGTCGCGCTTCGGCAAGGGCTTCTGCGAGATCCCAGAGGACATGGAGGATCCCACGCGGGCCGCGGTCAGCTCAAGGAGGTGCTGGAACCCTTCCAGGAACATTCTGGAGCACGAGGGCGACGCGCTGTGTGATGCCGCGCGCGGCGCCACTCGCAACGTCTCGCTTCGCCACCATCGGCACCTGTTTCTCGTCGATAAGATTCATTCCTGGCTCTGGCGGCAGGCAAAGGACGGGGCAGATGCCCGCCCTGCGTCGCCCTCTGCGGCGGCTTGCGGCTCTCAGCCTAGCAACCGACCTTCGCGGTTATGTCCGCTGGATGCCATCGGGGCTGAACGCGGCCGACGGGCTGCCCCGCCGCGGCTTCTTCCGTGGCCGCAGCTTCCAGGAGGCGCGGGAGGCAACCAGAGTTCGCGCCGAGTTGGCGGCTGCGGGCCCCGACTCCTGCGGCCGCCCAGGACCTGGCCTACCCTCGAGCGGGGGAGCTGGCCAACGGGGCCGTCCGTGTCCTGGCGGCGTCGACCGCGACGAGCACGCCGAGGGCCTGGGCGAGGCACCACGCGCGGCAGGTCCTGGATTAGCCGGGCTGCCGCGAGCACGGGTTCAGCACGGCCAGTTCGCTGGATGCCGCGAGGGCGTCATTGTTGACCGTCCTGGCTTTGGGCGGGGACCGCCCTGGCTTTCGGCGGGGTCGATGCCATGGCGGGGGAGATCGTCTGGGCGAGTGTGTCCAGCACGGTCTCGTTCGTGGCGCTGGTCGGCCACGTCTGCCCCTGGCCGTCCAAGGCCCATTGGATGCGCGGGGGGTCGCTGGCGCTGGCGCCCGCGGGCTCGGGGCTCATCATTGCCGGTGTCACTCGGAGCGTGAATTACCTACCCCGCTTTCGTTTCCAGGCAAAACCAAGTCATACCACGCGCCTCCTCGTCAAGCGGCCTGACCAGTACAGGCCGTAGTTTGGCATCGTCTGGCATCTCTTGGAAGCGAGGGTGGTCAAAAGCGAGGTAGGTTTGTGATCCCCCTAGGATCCCAGCCGCACCGGCCAGACGGGGGCGCCTTGCGCATCGGCGTCGGCGGGCGCCCCAGGGCCCCGGCTCGGGCCGCGCGCGCCGACGCGGCGCGCCCTCGGAGGCGAGCCCCGGGAAGCTCAGGAGAGGAAAAGACACACAGACACAATCAATCCTCGATTCCTCAGAAAATATGGGAAAATATAGGAAGTGGGGGGGGAAGACAGAAACCCAGAAAACATGGGAAAATATGGGGGGATTTGTTTATTTGTGTGTGTATTTATTTGTGTGTCCCAGGGCCCCTTCAGAAGTTCGCGCCCGCCGAGGTGCGCGCGAAGGTTCGCCGAGCATCGCTGGAGTTGGGGCTGCGGAAGGAGCCCCCGTCCAAGCGCATTCTCCGCCAGATCGCCCCCCTCCGAGCCGGCGCCTGCCCCGCGGGCCGCGAAGCTGGCGCCTGTTCTGATCGTGCGCCTGCCTCCCGCACGAGGTCGGCCTCTCGACGCGCCCGTCGGCGGGCCCCCCCGACGCCGTCGGCTCGTTCTGCCAGTGGTCGGGCCCCACGGGGCCCCCATATGCAAAGCGTTGCACCGGCGCGAATTCGAGGCCCCCGCGTTTGGCGCAGGTCGGAACGTGGGTCTCGTCTCACGGCGCGGGCCGTCGAGGACCGAACTTTAGGCTAGACCCGACCGTCGGCGGCGCGTGCTTGCTGGCTTTCGTCACCGAGGGGCTCCTGGATCGAGTCTGGGCCGCCGCCCGCTCGCTGCCTCGCTGACGCGCAGGGCCGGGCAGCCCCCGCGAGCGCCCGACCTTTTGGGGCCACAACATAATTTTGGAAGCAGCTATCAGAGCAGTCAAAACTCGCACCCAGCAAATTGCGCCAGTACGCGTGGAACACCCCAAGACAAGCCTGATTCGGGCCCTTCATGTGTTTCAGCCGCTCGTCCGACATCGCTCGTTGCTTGATATTGATATGGATCTTTGTCAGTGCGGATCCGCCACCCGCTCGGTCATGCGCGCGTTCTGTTGGCACTGCCCTCGTCTCAAGCAAGCGAACGCCTGTTGTGACCCCCATGCGACGGCGCGCTCTTTTTCGGGTCGGCCTTGCCTCCACTTCGACGGCCGCGCGGCCAAGGGCGCAGCGCGCAGGCGCAAGGCTGCGCGTTCCCTTGTCGGAGCAGCTGAGCTCGGCGCAGAGCCCCATCCTCAATGCCATCGCTGAGCTGTCGCGGTCCAGAATGCATGATTGATGTGGCATTCGGCCATGGTGTAGTATTATTCAAGGCACGTCTGTGCTGTCTGCGCGTGGTTGCAGGTCTGTCCTGGAATCGGTTGCAAGCCTCTTTTTTTTGCGACCGTCAGCTTCTGTAAAATGAAGGAAATGAATGTTGCAGTGGCCGTGGTAGCCTTCCATCGGCATAGCAACAGCTTTCGTGAGTCATGTGCTGGGAGAAGTGGGAGTGGCCGCACATCCGCTGAACTTGTGGTCAAGCTCCCAAGCCCGCCCGCCCTCGCTTGAGGGGTTTCAATATCATCTCCTGACGTCTGCGCTGTCTGCGCGTGACATGCAGGTCTCTCTCGGAATTGGTCGCAGGACTTCCTGCCACCGTCAGCTTTTGCTAAATGCAGGAAATGAATGCTGCAACGGCCATGGTAACCGCCCATCGGCATCATCATCAGCATCATTACCACCATACACATCAGCATTGGCATTATCATCACCACCATCATCACCACCAGCATCATCACCATCATAAGCAGCAGCAGCGCCATCACTATCACCACCGTCATCAGCAGCAGCATCGCCATCACTACCATCACCATCATCACCACCATAATCATCATGATCATTTCATCATCAGCTTCGTGCAGGAGCTGTACCGGGAGGCTGGCGGTTAGATCACCGAGGCGCGGCTCGACCTCGTCGTCAGCTGGCCGGGGCTACTTGCGCTGCTCTGGGCGAGCGCGACCGCGCGCTCGCCCAGAGAGTCGGGCTGGGCACTGCGCGCCATCGGCCACGAGGCTCGCGACGCGGAGAAGCGCATGAAAGACCGGTACCGCGAGGTGGTCGTCCCGCTCGCGGTCGAGACTGAGGGCGGGTCCGGGCCTGCCGCGCAGAGACTCGTCGCGGACATTGCCGCCCAAGCCCAGCGCATTGCTGTCTTCCCTGGCGAGGACTTCGCGCAGCAGGTATCCGCGAGGGCCCCCGCCGCCCTCGCGTCGCGCCGGGGCGAGCTGGTGCTGGCGGCTGCGCAGGACGCCGACGCGGGGGCGCGGCTGGGCGCACGCGGGGTGCCTTGTCTGGCCGTCCGTCACCTTGCACCTGCCCTGCTGCGGATGACAGTGCAAAGAGAGCGCCCTGCCAACGCCACCACCATCACCACCATCATCACAACCAGCACCATCACCATCATCATCACCTGCACGTGGGTACCATCAACATCAGCTGCATCATCATCACAAGCATGTATCATCATCATCCTCGTCTTCGTCATCGTCACTACATCAGCCCAAGGCGGCGCACGTGGATAAGTCCCGTCCTCGACGTTGCGCCCTGCTGGCCGCCTCCCGGCCTTCGCTTCCAAAGCGAGGATCCATCCGCAGTCACCGCTCGGGCGACCTACATCCGGGGGGCCCGGCAGACGGTAGACATCGATACGGTGGGACCAAAGTATAAGATCGAGGTCGGTTCGGGGAGGGTATCCCAAGATTCTTCGTTTCTGTTGGATGTTATTGTGCATCCTGGGGTGGGGGGTACCTTCGAATGTTTTTTCAGCTCTGGTCGGCGGCGGAGGATCGAACGTTTTTGAAAAGTGGTATGTTGTCCTAGGTCTGGCAGTAGATTCGGGCCTGCGGGGCCGTAACATATCCGTTTCCACCGCCCGTTGGGTCCCAGGAAGGCGATTGTCGGTGATCCCCAGGACGTGCGTTAGCCCAGTCTGCGCGTTCGGTTCCTCCGATAACGCGACGCCCCCGTCGGCCTTCATAGTGCCGTTTGCGTCGCAGAGCAGGCCTTTCGAAGCAAAGCACACGTCAGCGATAACACACGTTTTGAGAAACACCGAAATTCCCCAAGCGGCGGATACGGATTCTCTCTCTCTCTGTTGTTCTCTCTCTCTCTCTCTCTCTCTCTCCCTTTCTCTCGCTCTCTCTCTATGTCTCTCTTTCTTCGTTGTTCGATAACTATCTCTCTCTCTCTCTATCTCTTTCTCTCTCTGTCTCTTTTTTTATCTCTCTCTCTTTATCTCTCTCTCTCTCTCTCTCCCTCTCTCTCTCTTTATCTCTCTCTCTCTCTCTCGTTCTCTCTTGTTTTTGTCTCATATGTATATGCACATACACATATACCTGTATATATATATATATATATATATATGCATAAACATGTACATACATATGTATATAAAATATGTGTGTATGTGTATGTGTATATGTGTATATATATATATGTATATTGTAGAGGCCTCCGGCCGGTGCCGCCGATCCGAGACGATCCCGTTGTCAGAAGAATGTTTTCGCCCCAACGCGTTTGTTCAAACGTAAGTGGTTTGGAAACAGCTTGGAGGCATTGCGTGGGCTTCTTGAGGGACCTCTACGACGCATTTTCGAGGCCGCTTCGGGGGGCGTCTTGGAGGTGATTGTTGAGCCTATTGGGGGCCTTTGGGGCTTCTTGGGGGCATGCAGGGGGCATCCTGGAGGCCTCCTGGGGGTGTGTAGGAGGTAATTTCTAAGCCTTCGGGAGCGCTTTGGAGCGCCTTTTCGGGGCCTCTTGAGGGCCACTTGGAGCCTCTCGGTTTCCTGGGGACTCCTAGGGCCATTTTGGTGGTCTCCTGGGCGCCTCTTGGGCCGTCTTGGGCCCTTCTGGGGCCGTCATGGAGCCCTCTTGGGCGCTTCTTGGGCCTGTCCTGGGGCCCGCTTGGGCTGTGTTGGGGGCCTCCCGAGCCGTTGTGGGCCCTTCTTGGGCCGACGTGGGGCCCTCTTGAGAGCCTCTGGGCCTGTTTTGGGGGTCTCATGGGCCGTGTTGGGCATTGCGAAGGCCGAAGAAGCGAAAATGCAAAGAATACACGTTTTCCTTGGGGAAGGGGACAGATTTTCCGTTTCTGGGCACTCTTAGGAGGTGTCGGGAGGGTACATTGGAGGCTTCTGGAGTCGTCTGAGGAACATAGTGAACGTCTTGGAGCGATGTTTCGGCCACTCAGGGCCCTCTTGGGCCGTCTGGGCGGCCGCTGGGTTTTTTATGAGCCCGCGTTCGAGCTCTCCGGGGCGAGGGGCCGAACCGCAGTGAGCTGGAGCTCCGATTTCGCCACCAAAATTGACTCGGAACCACCCCCCCCTGCCCCAGCAGAGCCACCCCGGCACCCACCCCGGCACCCACCTCCCCGGCTCAAGAATTGAGGCTCAGGCTATATCTGAGGGTCGTTGAAACTCACACGCCGGATCGGCGGATATGTATATATATATATATATATATATATATATTCAGCCTCGCATTGCTGCCCCCGCGGGACGAGGAACTCCACAGCGACAGCACCAGCAGCGAGGAGGTGGAGGCCGCGCGTGGCGCGGGGTTCCAGCAGCCCTCTCTCACCCCCGTCCTCGGCCTCGCCCTGCGACCCCGTCCTCCTCAGTTTCCCTAGTCACCCCCCCGTCTTCGCCAGGGCCTTCCCTGTCTTCGCGTCTCCTCCTCCTCCTCCTCCTCCTCCTCCTCCTCCGCCTCCTCCTCCTCCTCCTCCTCCTCCTCCTCCTCCTCCTCCTCCCCTTCTCCCGTTGTCCTCCTCCTCCTCCTCCTCCTGTTCCTCCTCCTCCTCGTTCTTCACAGCCGTCGTGAAAGTAAGGCCGTCGTTGTCATGCGGTTGATCACAAAGAACAAGACAGTTCTGAAAAGTCAAAGGCCACGTGGATAAAGACATGGAACAGGCCACCGTGCATCAAAGCGATCACGGATGTCAAATGCGCCGATCATTTCGGCCACTCTGATAAAGCAGTTCATCCATTTAGTGGAAGTCTGAAAATCATCAAATTGCCAATCCCTCGATGTGAATGCGACGCTCCGTCTCGGCGTTCCATCATGTTTTACGACAGCGATTCGCCAAGCGCTTGAAGTAGCTAACGGGCGGGCACGTCACCCTCAACACGAACACGAATACCGTGAATCAAGTCTCAAATCTAAGCTGATTTCTCCTGAACGCCAGAAGGCCCGACGCAACGAACGAGTTCGCCACCTGAAGTTGCACAAGACGCACATTCATCCAATGCAGAACTGCAGCCACTTGAATCATTTGCATTTCGCAGATCCTCTCCTGCGCTAGAAATCTACGCCCAGGCCCCTTTGGAGCCTCGGGGGCAATCTTGCAAGAAATCGATCGAAGGAGTGGGGCTCCTTACTCAGGGTCCCTCCCCAGGAGGCCCAAATGTGACCAAATCTGTGGTAAACTCAATGATTTGGGCCTTCTCTCCGAGGCCTCTTGGGTGCCCCTGGGGGGCCTCTTGGAGCCTCTCAGGGGTCTCTTGGGAGCCTCTTAGGGCATATTGGGGGCCGCTTGGGTGCCTCTTGGAGCTTCTTGCGCACCTCTTGAGGAAATCTTGCTCGATGGCCATCTTGGAGGGGATCGATCAAAGGTGGGGCCGTAATACATTAGGGTCCCCCCCAAGAGGCACAAATGTGGCCAAATCCCTTGTCCAGGGATTGTGGCGGTGTGTTGGGATCCGCAAAGCAGGCAGTATGCCGGCACCCCCGCCGTCCCTGTCAAAAAGCAATGTTCATGTATCGCGGGGCGTCCGCGCTTGATCCAGATGTTGGTGCAAAGTGCATTTGAAAGTTATGCACCCAAGAACGATGCCAATCTTAACCGTATGGGATCTAGCACAGACTGGATGGGACCAGACATAACCAGCTTCCGGGAGGCCTTAATTGTGGCGATCGCCAAGGGCAGCTTAAACATACCATCCCACAACAAGTCTTAAGACCCGTTTGCGCAGCCGCGTCCAGCCGTGGCGACGAGGGGGCCCTCAAGGCCCAGGAGAGGAGGAGGAGGAGGAAGAGGAGGAGGAGAAGGGTCGTGACAGGACTTGGTTGTTCCTCAGCGGCGCGGGATCAATGAGCCGACAGTCGTCATTGCCTCAAGCATGACGCAGGCCTCTCACTGCACACGTTTGGCGAACCCTGTGCTAGGGGCATAGATACAAGTTCAGCCTCCAGACGTCACGTTTTGATATATGCCCTGCCCCCTGGCGGCCAGAGTGGGTGGAGCAGCATGAGTATGGCTCGAACATCGATCCCCGAAGAGAGGGGATTTTGGAGCATTGCATATCTCAACCAATTTTTGCTAGCGACGCCTTCCGCACGTTGGGTGCTCTTCAATGTCGCGCGCGTGCGGTGTGGCACGCGAGCGAGGCAGCTGGAGGTCAAGACTACGAGGTTTCAAGACCACGATGATCGGACGGGCCGAAAAACACTACGAGGTTTGAAGGCTATGAGGTTCAAAAACTATGAGGTTTCAAAGCTACAGCTCCTCCTGGGGCCTCCAGGGGAAGCCGAACAAAAACAGCGACGTGTAGCCGATGTGTTGACCTACCTTTCAATATCACCCCTCCTTCGTCCACCCTTCCTGAGGACAACACAACCCACCCTTCCCCTTAACCAGGAGCCTCACTCCCGACCTTGTGATCCATGGGGTCCAGGCTGGGGGTGAGGGGTATCTCGTTGGCCCCCAAGAGCCCCAAAAATCCACCCCCACCCCTAAGCCAGGACACCCTGGACCACCCTGGATCACCAGATCGGGAGTGGGGTGCCTGGCTGGGGGTGGGGGTGTGTTGTGCTGTTCTCACCTCCTCCACTTTCTGGAGGGCCCCCCCAGCGCTGCACGAAGGTCCCTGGGCACAGGTCCTCAGGATGCCGCCCACAGGGGAGCGACGCAAATCTAGACCTCCCAGATGGGGTCGGAGTGGATTGTGTCGGAGGATCACGCCGCATCGCCGATGCATCGCCGATGCGGCTCGTTGTGGAGCTCGAAGTGTTCCACGCCGACGCAGCTGATGCATTGCCGACGTCTGCGATTCATCGGCGATGCGGCGCGATCAATTGACCCCATTTTGGAGGCTCCTAGCCCGAGCGGTCCACAAACGTTCAAGAATTTCGCTATTCGATCCGCGGTCTTGAGGGCGGATCCCACGCGAAGCGGAGATAGCTGAAGCGAGACGCGGAGGCGCGCGCGGGCGTTTGCGAGCAAGGTAGAGATGAGACGACGGGGAAGACGACGTTGATGACGACGACGACGACAATGACGACGACGATCACGACGCCCACGACGGCGGCGGCGGCGGCGACGACGACAACGACGGCAACGGCGGCGGCGGCAGCGGCGGCGGCGCTCTCAGAGGCCTCACGGCCTGCCCTGGAAGCCCCAGAGGGGGGGGGCGACGACCAGGAACGACGACGGCGGCGGCGGCGGCGGGCCGCTGCGCGCGCACGCGCGCGGTCGCGTTTTTGTTCCCGGGCTCTCGGCGCGCCGCCAGCGTGCAGGTGCAGGGCGCCGTCTCGGCGGCCGTGCCGCCGCAGCCGCCGCCCGAGAAGGCGGGCGGTTGCGACAGCGCCGCGGCGCCTGCGATCGCCTCCCCCCGTCGTCGTTCCGAAGGCTTCGATGCCAGCATTCACGTTTCCGTCCTCATCCTCCTCCTCCTCCTCCTGCTCCGCCTTTTCCTCCTCCTCCTCCTCTTCCTCGTCCTCCTCCTTCTCCTCCGTAACAGTTCTGGTTCAATTGATACATGTATCGAGTCAGTTGGGCAGGGCAGCGTTGCGAGTCCCAGCCACAATGGGCGACAATGGGCGGCCCCGCCAGGCTGTGGGCAGTTCTATTTCGCGGTCCAACTATCGTTCCCCCCTTCCCCAGGCAAAGGCGGGGGTTGCGCAGCGCATTCTCACACCCCGAGGTGAAGCCATAGGGAAGATGGATTCTCACCCGCAGAGCCGTGGAGTTAGTAACCACGTGCGGCGTGGCAAAAAACAGATTCCCGAAAGTATTATTTTCGGGAATCAGACAGCAGCTGAAAAAGTGGCAGCCGCACCAGCAACATTCGCGACCCGATCCTGAGTGATTCATTTTCGAGAGCACCACGGAGAGAGAAAAAAAAAAAGAAACAAAAAAAACGAGCGCCACCAGAGGAACAGCAAGAGCAGCATCAGCGGGTTGCACATCCTGATTGGCATGCGTGAGATGGTGCAAGGGCAGCATGCGCCCACCTTTGCGAAGCTCGACCAGCCGGTGGACTGCATTCAGAAACAGCTGACCACACACACACACGCACACGAAGCAGATCACGGAGGATCAGACCACGATGGTTGCCCAGCAGTGTCAGATCAATGCGCAGGGCAAACAGACCAATCAGTTGACGGAGCAGACGAATTACATTTCACAGCGTGACACCGCGGCCAGTACAAGTGTTGGGGATGGCGCCAGTACGGTTGGAGGACACGCAGAACAAGGCAGCAGGCACCATCAGCCAATCGACGCAACAGATACATTGGCACGTTCCCTCGTCCATTGCTGCGGGCGCAAGGGACACTACGTCAAGGTCGTCGTTCGCAGGTTTCAACATCTTCTTCAGAAAGCGGAAGCAGTTGTCAATGGTGTATCACAATCATAAATATATATATATATATAATACATATATATATATATATATATATATGTATGTATATATATATATATATTGAAATTCCCGACGGCTGTGGCGGACAAGCTATTTCAGAGCGCGCACAATGAAGCTGGCGGACATGAATGGATTGACCCTCGCACGAGCAAGACGGCCCCCACTCGCTGTCGGCAGGGCTTGCCGCTGGACGCCCGGATAGATGAACCATTCCTACAGGAAGTCCAGGAGAGCCCGAAATCGCAAAGTGGCGGCTGTCGTCTCGGCGCCAATGGCTTAAAATATGTGCCCCAGATCATCGGACAGGGCGACGCGCGGGAGATCGCGAAGACGCAGAAGACGGGCATTGGCCAGATTGAGTTCGAACCGGTCACCGCGGAGCTCGCCGATTGGGGCGCCAGCTTCGAGAAGGCCGTCAGTATCACACAGACGGCGACGGGGCAGGAATAGGATGCACATTTGGGGCAGTCACACCTTGAGGAGCCGCGCGGGGCGCAGCTTGTCCAATCGCAATCTAGTTTGTCTTCGTTCGATTGGCAGAACAAGGATCTTGTCGATTTAGAGCCCACCGGTGGTAGCCCAGTGGATGTCTCTGCCAGTTCTACCGCTGGCTCTGTCGCACGCAGCCCTCCTTCCTCTTCCCCTCCCAACCACGAGCGCCCATTCTCCATCGACAGAACGATCAGCTTTGTCTCGTGGAACCGCCAAATGGCGCTGGGGCCTGCGCATTGCAAGCAAGGTGTCCTTCGACAAATGCAGTCGCGTCGTCGGCCCCTTCTTGCCGAGTATGAGATCGGTGCGTCTTCGAGAAACCCATGGCGCAGAATCCGATCTCGAGCAGCTTCGGAAAGACCACAAATCCCACGCACCGCTCGGCGCGTTCTGCGACTCAGCATATGCCGGTGGCCTGCTGCTCTTCATCTCCCGCGCCCTACTTGCGCACGTTGCATGGGCGGAAGTAAATGTCATCACCCTTGATCGGATTGCCTTTGTCCAGCTCTTTGGTCCGAGAGGCGCGCGCCAGGTGTTGAACGTGCGTTTCGTTCCCGATTGGTCAGAATGGGGAGCGAAGGGCATACTTGCACGCATCCGTCGCTCTCGCCCCCCCCCCCACACCACCCACTCGTTCTCTCGGGGCGACTGGAACTGGGTGCGTCTGGGGGAATCGCGATTTCACGCTGATTCGGGGGCCGACGGCCCTGCGAGGCCCCGCTCGGCAACGGCTTGCAAGCAGCAGCTAGGCACGCCACGCGGAGCTGCGCAGGAGAGAGATACCCATCTGGTCACTCGTCGACGCGCGGGGATGGAGAAGCTGGAGGTGCCCGAAGTATCGTTCGGCAGGCTGGCTGGATCGCATCTACATGGCCCTTGCATCACAAGAATGATTGACCTCCGAGGACGGGCGCGGTCTGGCCCATCACAGACCCGGCGACGCCGTCAGATCATGCCCCAGTTATTTCTCTCGTTGGCTGCGCGGGCAGCACAGCGCCAGCAGTTGAGCGCGATGGCCCGGCAGACTTTGGACCCTGAGTTTCCGTCTCAGGACGCCGGCGCCAGGCTCGCGGAGATCAAAGAAGCGATGAAGGTTGTTGCGCCCCGGGTCAAGGATGTGGATTTTTGAAGAAGGCGCCCATTCCCCCGAGGAAAAATAATCGCGCATGCTTCCTGTTTTGAGAGGCGCGCGCTCAGGGGGCGCCCGCAATGCCCTTTAAGGCCTCAAGGGGCTTCGTGACCTGCAGAGGTTTATTGACTCCCCCGAGCTCTGGTGGACGGATCACGCCGGCTTCGATGACCTCTTCGCACTGCTCATGCGTCGGATTCTCCGTTCCAGGGGCTGAGGCGCGACGCGAGGCCGCCCAGTCTGCGGGCGCTGGCGGCGCGCGCGCTGCACGACAGCTTGCTCGGATAAGGAGAAGGGCTCAAGCATGGAAGAAGTCAGGTAGGCAAGTTGCCCAGCAGCAAGTTGCTGAAGGACGGCAACTCCCATGGCGATCCCGACGCATTCACCAGTTTGCGCGCGGCCCACTGGGTGAGCATATTCCAGGCGAGGGGCGCCGACTCACTGGCGATCGTCGACCTCGCCTCGCGGATTTCACTTATCCCACGGGGCGATGTTCAATATCAGTCTATCCTGGAGCTACTTATCCCTGGGTTATTCCTGAAAGCATGCTTCCTGACATCGTGGAAAATCGTGAAGACTCTGCCCCATAGGCCCGATGGAATACCGCATTCGGCATGGCGCGCATGCGAGGGCGTAGGAGTAAAAAATGATTGCGTAGAGTGTATTTCGAGTTGCTGCATGACCAGAGGCCGCCGCCCGATTCCAACGCCCGCTCGGCCGCGTTCCCACCCGAGGGCAGCGGCATGGTCCAACGCGGACAACAAGGTGTTTAGCGCGCGCATGGCGCGCCCATTCTCCCAAAATTTCGGCGGCGGAGTAGACGGTGCACGGCGCGGCTTCCTGAGGGGGGGGCAGCTTGTGGACGACGCTATAGAAGTTGACGCTTCGCTGTTCCTTTGTCTGCGGCGAGCGGCCGACTGGCGCAGCCTCGTTCAACCCGCGCGCTGCCTTTCCTAGCGCCGTTCATGAATATATGCGGGCAGTCCTGCGTGCGCGTGGAATTCCAGGTTGCATTGTTCTCGTTATCCTGGCACCATAACATAGCACGATGATGGCCATCAGTTTCTCGGGGCCCGATGGAGCAGAGGCATCCAGCAGGGCTGCGCACTGAGCCGCCTCATATTCAGCCTGTGCTTCGGCCATGCGATTAGGAAATTACAGGGGGCCTTCTCTTTTCGCCCCCGTTGTCTCCAATGTTTCTGCGGACGACGTCGCCGCGTCGCTCAGCGACCATGTCCGCGCGCTGCCGAGCGCAGTGCGAGTGCTGAGCGGCGCGGGCCTGATCCTTAATTGGGAAGAAATGCCAGCTTGTCTTTCTCGGTGCGGACACTCGTCGGGGCGCCCTCTGGTCGACTGCAGGGGAATAGCGACGGAGATCCTCGATCGTTCCCCCCCCCTTCATCTTCCCCCCTCGAATAGCGAAGCGTTCCTTTCCAGTGCATTGCTATAGAACGTGCCCGCTCTACCTTTCAGCGTCTCCGTGCTTCTCCTCTGCTCCCGCCCCCCGCTCGCCCCATTGGCCTCGCCCAGTCTCGGCTGCGCGCCAATGGTCGCGGATCTTGCGTCGCCGCCGCCCTCTTGCGAGCCCGACTGATGGGTCGAGCTCCGAGCTGGCGGTGCTCGATGTGGCGCCACAGGTGTACATCGGCTGCGTCGAGGACTCCGCCCCCCCCCCCCCCCCTCCTGGCGCGGGCGCACCCCCTCCTCCTTTTCCTTATTCTCCCTCGTGTTCGTCCTCCTCATCTTTGTCGAATGGTGGATCTGCCCTCTCTCCGCCCTCTTAATCGGACGTCCACATGCCCCTCCAGGAGGCCCGAATTGCTTCGATTTCCCATCGCCCTTTCGCTCGGGAGCACGTTTTGTTAACTGACCGTGCCCGCGTTACTCGCGTCGCGCACTGCTTTCCGCGCTCGGCATTGAAAACGCATCTTCCACCCCGCATGCGGAGCAGCCCGCGCCGCGACCATTCGCCGCCAGCCATGGCCCGCGAGGCTCTCCACCGCGTTCGCGGCGAGCGCCATCCTGCGCGCGCTCGCCCCGCATCGCGATCATGCCGGCCACCCCTCTCGCCCCTGCAGGCGCCGCGCATCGAGGAGCCAGCGGCGCCTCCCAGGCCCGGCCGCCAGCGCCCCGGCGCAGGAGACCCAGCCCACCTGCCTCAGCAACTCCATCTTCTAGAACGACGGCGGCCACCGCCCGCCGGCCCTCGCCCCAGGAACCCCCGACCCACGTTCGAAGTGTTCGGGGCCCTTTCGTCTACATTGCATTCGCCGGCGAGCGCCGCCGTCGAGATCGGGCCGTCGAGCGATCCGGCTTCCGCGGTCACAGCGTCGGCGCAGGGCCCCGAGCTTCCCGCGACTGCGTTGCGGATGCCCGAGGGGGAAGATGCAAAGGACCATCGCGTTCATTGCATCTTATATGGGCGCATCTGGCAACGCCGAGCAGTCGTTCGATCCGACGTTCATCGCCGGCGTCGGCAAGGCGACCCACGCTGTGGACGCTGGGGGGGGGGGCGCGCGCAGGCAACGACGGGAATGCGGAGGAGGGCCCGGCAACTACGCTGCCATCCTTCCGTGGCACCGCCGCGCAATTATATGATTATTCGTTGTCGGTTCTGCGGGGCATGACCCTCGATGTGTCCCGCGCGCCCCCTTCTTTCTGGCAGACTTGGACCCCTATGCATACTCCTCTTGATAATCTCGCGTAAATTAATCAGCGATCAGCACAGCGAGGTTACGACGCGCGACAAGATATTATGCCACTTCGTGGCGGAGTGCTCTGGGCGCAGCCAGCACTCGAACCGCACGACAGAACGCAAGACCCAATGCGCTGACGAAGAGGAGCGCACCAGGGACAGATGCGCCCAGCGGCTCGGAGGATCACTGCCAGAATATCGGATATCGCCGCTGGCGGGTACCAGGGCAGTCACGTCCGTTTGGTACCTGGAAGGGGGTTCGGTTCCACTCTGGATGGAAAGCCATCGGAGTAGCACGGGCGCTGCCATCAGCTGCATCGCCCACATTGACGCGGGCGGCGGCGGTAGAGGCAACACGCGGCACCTCCACACTGGGAGGCCGGAGCAGCGGGCTCGCGCGCTCTTCCAACGCCGGGCGCGGGAGGTAATGACTTGGTTTGTGGCGAACACAGACCTCGAGGAGTTTCGCCAAGCGGCCTACGTTCCGTCTCACTTGACCAGCATGGCTCGTGAGTGCGTGGGCGAGTTGCCGCTTGCTGTCCTCGTTCAAGGTGGTCATGTCAACGGCAACCCAGCGCCGGCCATGACCCACCTCGCGCGCAGCCCGGCCGAACGGAGGGGCCAGCTCGGAGAGGAAGAGCGCAAAGCGGCAGCGGCCCGCATGAATTTCAATTGTTTCCGCAGGAGCGCATCGCCAACCCCCCCCCCACGCCAACCTCCTCACCTGGTTCGACATGCCCCGTGACAGAACGCAGCGGGCTGGTCACTTCACGAGCGTCTGCGACGGCCTCAGCTACCGCTTGCTTCGCGCGGTGGGCGCGTCGAACACCCAGCTCGCCCTGATCCTGCAGCGCAACGGCATGGCCTGCCAGGCGGACGCACAACAGATGGCACACATGACGGGCCAGCTACACGCCGATTTGGACACATGACCGAGGGCTCGCTGGGCAATCTTGCCTCGGCCGTGTTTTCGGCCCAATGCCGAGCGTCTCTCACTGATGCGCCCGCGCGCGAGCAGGCTCAGGGTGCCCATGGCGCCGCAGCCAGATCGAGCCGATGTGGAATGGGCTCTTCAGCCCTTGGAGCGGCAACGAGCCCGCGTGCAGCACCAGCTGCCGCCAACGCCGACACATCAGCAGCACTGTAGGCGGCACCCACATTCATATCATTCAGTCTCCGACTCACGAACACTCAGACCTACTCGTACTCAGACTCACTCGTAGTCATTCATGCTCAGACCCATCCACAGTCAGATTTACCCACACCTCAGATTCATTCGCGCTTCGATGCGTTCTTAGTCCGATTTCCGCATATCCAGACCCGCTCATATGCATATCTTCTCATACTGAGGCTCATTCATATTTCAACTCAATTTCACCCGGGCTCACATTCAGATTCACTTTCTTTCTGATAACTCACGTCCAGGTTTTCTCATAGACTGTTCTTTTTGGTGGTTTAATGTTCCCTCGCTCTTTCATTTGTGTCTCCTTCATCTCTCCTGAAAGACGTCCAGAGGATGAGGAGGAGGAAGAAGAGGAGGACGTCACAGAAGTAGTCGTGGATGCCGTCTGTGTCGCGCATGTCATCTACGTCCGCTGGGTCGCCGGCGCCCCCAGACTCGCAGACACACTTTCTCAGAAGTGCCAGGAGTATGAGATGTGCATATGAGATTTCCGCGTCGAGAATGTTTTTTTGAGTGGTGGCCGGGTTGTTCGAGAGACACGTGAATCTCCAGGGGAAACGAGGAGAAGGGTTAGCAGGGATAAGAGGACAAGGGGGAGCAGGGGGATGCAGAGAACGGCTGGGTGGATGAGGCGACAAGGAGGCGGAGGAGGACGAGGGGGAAGGAGCGGTGGCAGGGGCCGAGGGGGCGGAGAAGGCATCCTTTTTGTCCGCCTTTTCTGTCTCATCATCATCATCATCATCATCATCATCATCATCATCATCATCATCATCATCATAATCATCATCATCATCATCATCATCATCATCATCATCGTCATCATCATCATCATCATCGTCATCATCATCATCATCATCATCATCATCACCATCATCATCGTCATCATCATCATCACCATCATCATCATCATCATCATCATCACCATCATCACCATCGCCACCCTTTTTCTACCTCCTCCTCCTCCTCCAGGGGCAAGTCGTACAGCCTGGAAGTGCCTCACACATGGGGGGCATCCCGGAGAGGAACGTCAAGGTCTTTCCCTCCCCACAAGCCCTCCCTCTCTTCCCCCTTCCTCCCCCTTGCCGCCCCGGGAGAGGTGAAGCTGCAGCTGTCCCCCCTCGTCGCCGAGAGCCCCCAGAGGTGCTTCGAGAAGTACGCCCAGCGGTTGGGCGAGAGGCTCTCGTGCGCCACCATCTGCAGGCAGGGCCCATTCCGATCGGATCCGATTCGGTATCGATTCCAGCTGGCACGATCCCGCTCGACGGCGACGTGCCGACGATCCGATGCGAGCCGATGTTTTTGCTGGGGGCGTTGTTGTGCATCTCGGCCCAGCCGATCCGATCCGACTCCGGCTCCGTGCCGATGCGGCCCGATCCCGTGCACGGTCCCTCAGTAGCAGATCATGGGAGCCTTGCATGTTCTCGTAATTCCTTCGTCAGAGTGCATTGGCGTGCGCTAGCGTCTGGCAGTTGATGAGAGAGCGCCGAGTTTGCGTCGATGGGCGTCGATTCAGCGTCGATCGGCGTCGATTCGGAAGAGCCAACAGGATGATATGGCAGGCCCCACGAGTTGCCGCAGAAGACTCTGAACAGATCCGATCTATCGATTCGATGTGGACAGGTACCGTGTTCACCAGGCGCGTTCCAATACTCGCAAAGTGCATATTCACGAATGTCCGAAACAAAATATGCATCCCCCGCGGCGGATGCAGGCCGTTTGCGAGTAGTTGCTTAGCGAGCAGTGGAACGCGCTCATCTATGTGTGCAGGTGGGACAGGCTGCAGGCCGCCGCCAACGAGCAGCTGGCCGGCGGGCACGTGGGCAAACTGGAGTGTTTCTGGATCCACGAGCCCGGCGCGCAGCCCTGCCCCGAGGCTCGGGGGGAGGGCGGAGCCTTCATCTGTTCGACTACACATAAGAGATAAGAGTGACCTTCCGCCAGAGTGACCGTTGGTGCAGGCCCCATGGGGCCCCCCAGATAGTTGAATGCGATGCGATGGCAGCAGCTTGCGCGCCGGGTGGTTTCCCCGAAAGCCCCCCTTGGCCGCGCACTAAAGGTAACTCTTGCCCAGGGTCACTCTTGCGTGTAGTCGATCTGCCCGCTTCCTCCACGTCGTCCTCCTCCTCCGCCTCCTCCTCTTCCTCCTCCTCCTCCTCCATGTTCTTCCGTAGCCATTTTGGCTCCAGAACCAGTGGGGCGAGGGGGGTGTCCGGTCGTGCGGCTGGCCCCACCGGGTCCCCGCTGGTTATCCGCAAGGGCTTCGCCCCCTGCCGCCGGCCCCTTCGCTCGGAGAATGGGCCATGGAAGAGCGAAATCATGAGGCTTTGGCTTCGCCGTGAAGCAGTGTCGGGACATGTTTGTTTTTCGATCCTGACCCTACGGATCTACGTGAGGGGTGCCGCCGAATTTCAGAAATGTATCAAATGCCATGTGTTTTTGGACACTGACCCCGCCGATCTGCGTGAGGTGTGCCACCGAATGTCAGAAATGTAGCAAATCCTATGTTTTTGGACCCTGACCCTGCCGATCTGCGTGAGGTGTGCCACCGAGTGTCAGAAATGTTGCAAATCCCATGTGTTTTTGGGCCCTGACCCCGCCGATCTGCATGAGGGGTGCCACCGAATTTTGGAAATTGTAGCAAATCCCATGTGTGTTTTTGGACCCTGACCCCGCCGATCTGCGTGAGGGGTGCCACCGAATTTCAGAGATGTATCAAATGATATGTGTTTTTTGACCCTGGCCCCGCCGATCTGCGTGAGGGGCGCCACCGAATTTCAGAAATGTGGCAAACCCTTTGTGTTTTTGGACTTGACCCTGCCGATCCGCGTGAGGGGTGCTACCGAATTTTAGAAATGTGGCAAATCCCGTATGTGTTTAGACCCTGACCCCGCCGATCTGCATGAAAAGTGCCAGGGAATTTCAGAAATGTGGCAAATCCCCTTGTGTCATTTGGACCCTGACCCCGCCGATCTGCGTGAGGGGTGCCAGGTTGTGTGTGTATATATATAAACACAAAAAATGTTTTTGGACCCTGACCCTGCCGATCTGCGTGAGGGGTGCCACCGAATTTCAGAAATGTGGTACATCCCCTATGTTTTTGGACCCTGACCCCGCCGATTTGGGTGAGGTGTGCCACCGAATGTTTTAGAAATGTGGCAAATCCTATGTGTTTGTTGACCCTGACCCCGCCGATATGCGTGAGGGTTGTCAATTTCTACCCTTCCCAGCGATTCAGACAATACGATTTGGGCGTGGTAAACTGCCCGTTTTGGGCCTCCCCCCCTCGCGCGGTCCATCAACAAGGAACAGTCAGCAGCAAGACGTCAACAAGAACCAGTAAGCAGCAAGAAGCAGAATTGTAGCAGTGGAAACTGTCAGATGAAGCTTTGGCCTACAGCCTGGTGGCCCCACGAATGGGGCTGGCGGGTTTGACATTGCGGCAGGAGGTTCGTGATTTTACCAGCTTCCGGGCCCGCGTGCTCGCGCATCTACGAGTCACTCACGGCAGCCATGCCGGCCAGCCGCCAACGCGGGCAGCCGCCGGGCTGGAGCGGCAAAGGACGCGTTGGCGGTGGCGGCGGCGGCAGCCAACGGCCTTGGCATGCTGCCGCGGCTGAAGCTGCGCCCGTCGGCCCGCGCAAGCCGTTCTGGAGCTGCGCGTGCGGGGAAGCGGGCAATTGGGCCTGCCGCGGCCGCTGAAGGGGGTGCTCTCGCCCTGGTCGCCTGGCTGCGCGGCAGCGCGCCCTGGAGGCCCAGCGCGCCGCTCGCGCCGAGGTGCCGCCAGGAAGCGCACTCATCTCGGAACCTCCCCGGCACCAGGGAAGGGCGGAGGCAGGGGCGCGGCCGCCGCGGGCGGCCTGGCGGCCAACCCCGCCACGGGCGCCGAAGCGGCGGGCCCTGCTTCCGACGACGCCAAGCTCCCCGAACGCTTGCGCGCCATCGGCATCGAGCTCACGTCCGAGCAGCAGGCCAAGTTGCCTCAGACTTGCCCGGCCCCTCAAACGGGCCAAGGCAGCGCCCACGCCGCAGTCCCAGCTGCAGCGAGCGCTCTGGCGGCAGGGTGACTGGCGCAAGACCTTCGAGCGGGCTGAGGCTGCGCGGGTGGCAGCGGCGGAGCAGACCCAGGAGGCCCAACGGCGGCTGCAGGAGGCCGACGACAGCCTTTTGGCCAGCAAGCTGGCGCTGGAGGAGGCCACCGCGGCGGATGCGGCGGCGTTGCGGGCGGCCAGCCGAGCGGCGACGTCGCTGGGACCAGCCGCCTCCGCGGGTCAAATCGGTCGCCTAGACCACGCAGGCGATGGAGGCTACGCGCTGGAGGGCAACGCCGAGCTGCACTACGTGCCCAGCTTCCTGCAGTCGCTGCACGAGGGGGGGGGGAACCGCGCGCGCGTGGACGCCGAGACGGTTGCCTCGGGGGCGCTGGCGGCGATGGCAGGCCAGAGACGACGCTGCGTCCGAGGGGGGTTGACGACTACGAGCTCACCAATTGCATCTTCGGCACGTCACAGTCGGCGCGGGGGGCCTTCGCCGGGCAGCTCGTCGCCCCAGGAATGCCCGCCCCAGGTTGGCTGCGAGACAGCCCGGCGGCAGGGCCGCCCTTCAAGCGGCAGCGGGGCGCGCTGCATCTGTCACGTGCAAAGGCAAGGGCAGAGAGCGCGACTCGACCCATGGCTGCTTTCCCACGTGAGCCCTCGGTCGAGGCCCAGGCCAGCTGGGAGCCGCAAGTGCTTCGGTTGGCGATCATGCGCCATGCCCGGGCCCCGCGGGCGAAGCTGCCGGAGCAGCCGCCGGGCTCGACGCCGTGATCGACGGCGAGCCGCTGGGAGCGGCCGACGCGGGCTCCGGGGACGCCCCAGGGCCCGCCTGGGCCGCCTGCGCCCATGAGCGCCCGACGGGGCCCACCCGGGCGCCCGCCCACGTGGGCGCGTCGAGGCGCGGGCGGCGGCGCCCCTCGGGTTTCTGCTCGATCGCGACTGCGAACATCACGGGGCGGGGGCCCGCGCTGCGCGAGCTGGGGCGCGGCGCCGTAGACGCCGACGCGGCTGCCGCCCAGGAACGCCACCTCAACGAGCCGAACATCGCCCGGACGCAGCGCGCGGCATAGCGACGCGGCTGGAAGTCGGAGTTCTCGCCCGCGCGGCGCGCGGCGGCGGGCGGCACTTCCGGCGGCTCCTTCATCCTGACCAGGCCTTGGATCGGGCTTCGCCGCGCGCATCTCGGGGAATGGGCCCCCGTGCCTTTCGCGGGGCGCATGGCCTAGTGGAGTGTCTCCGCGGGCCCTTCGGGCGGCTTCGCGCCCAGCTCCATTTATCTCCGCGCGGGCGGCGGTCTGGGCGGGCGCGACCTCGCGCGCTCGTCCGAGGCGGAGGCGGCCGCGCGCAGCATCGGCAAGCCACTCGCGTCGGCGGGAGACCGGCAGTTCAAGCCCCGCTGCTGTGACCAGACCTGGTGGCTTACGGCGGAACGCGGCACTGTCGCTGCCATTGGGCGGCCCGCGTGCATCGGGCCATCGGGCATCGGTCGGCAACGAGCTGAATTCTTCCATCGCGCCCCCCAGCGTCGCTGTCGCACCCGTCGCCGTCGTCGACGAGATCTCGGCCAGGCCGCATCGCTCGGCGCGCCTGGCCTTCAATCAGCCTCGGCCACCGAGCTGGCCTCCGCCCCGCGGAAGGCCGCGCCCTTCCCCTCGCAGGCGCTCGTCGGCCCAGCCTCGAGCCGCTGGATAGGGGGGGCGAGGAGGCCGAGCAGCGTCGGCGGCGACAGGCCGACCTCGACGAGGCTTGCAGGGCCTGGCTGCGGAAGTGCGAGGACGAGCGCACTCAGTCCTTCGGTTTCCAGGGCGCCCGGGCGCGCCGCGCAGGCCGCCCGGGCGCGCCGCGCCTCGCTCGCGCGCCCGCTGCGCACGCGGGCCATGCGCGGCGCAGCGCAGGCAGACCCGCGGCGCGCTCACCTTTCGCACCGAGGACGGCATCGCCGTCAAGATGGCCGAGATCCGCCCCAAGACGGTCGTCGCCCCGGCGAGGCGATCGCCGGAGAGATGGCTGCTGCGCGGCGCCATGGACCGCCGCGATTACCTCCGCGAGCTGCAGCGCGAGCCGTACCGGGAGCCTCTGCAGTCGTCAGCCGTGCGCTCTCTGAGCGCGGACTGGATCCGGCACCACGGTGGCTTCGCGCGGGCGATCGTCGGGAACGTCATCTGGGACGTTGCTCACACATGCTTCAGGGCCTCAGTCTCCTGGGTGACGCCCGTACTGCGGCGGGCCACGCGGCACCCTGCGGCACGCAGCATGGGGCGATTGCCCGGCCACCCGGGCGTGGCGACGCGACTGCGACATCGCTGCGAGAGCGAAGTCGGCTGGGCGTGCGCATCCTGAGCGGTGCTTGTGGCGTCGCGCCCTCGTGCCCGACCCTCGCCCCTTCCTACCTGCAGGGTGGGCCCTTTTCATTTCTGTGCGCTTCAGTTTGGGCCCCAGCCTCAGCTGTCGGCGCGATGCGTTGCGCTTTCGGGGCAGGGCGGGCACCCACCCGAGTCGGTTATCCGCTCACGCGGGCGCCTCCCTCGCGTTCGTCGCCTGTCCTGTCTGGTCTCCCCTCTCTGCCGCTGCTGTCGCTCACCCGTCCAGCTCAGAGGATATCGAACTCCTCGCAGTTCGGCTTTGCGCGCCGCCGGGGTTGGACGCGTCGGCCCCCGCCACTGTCGCTGTCGCCGCCACCCGAGTCGGCGGCCCTGACGAGGGGGGGGGGCGGCGACAGCGGCAGCGCCGAAACGCGCCCAGAGCCCAGCAAGGCGAGAGGGTGCTAACCCGATTCTGGCTGATGCTCCGCGGGGGCGCCTGTGCTTAGGGGGGGCCGCACTACCGCTCAACGACGTGGTGTGTTCCGAACCTGCAGGGTGGGCCCTTCCCATTTTCTTTACGCTTCAGTTAATTCTCCAGCCTCAGCTGCAGGCGCACTGCGAAGCGCCCTCGGGCCAGCTCACCCGGGTCGATTTTCCGCTCACGCCGGTGCCGCCCTCCCCCCCCCTCTCCTTCAGCCTCCGGATTCTCCGCGCGCTGGCAGGTTCGGCCTCGCGGATGGGCCCCTGGAGATGTCTTCTGCGACGGCTAGGTGTCATCAGTCGTGCACGGGGGCCCTGTGGTCGCAGGGCGGTTGGGGGTTGGCGCAGGTCGACCCTCTAGGCGCAGGCCCTAGGCATCGGGGCGCGGGCGATGCGTCTTGCTATGATTGTCCATGGGTCGTCACTTCCTTTGCCAACAGAAGGGCAGAGACCGCTCACTCGGGCTGCGTGGCGGCCGATCTGTGGACGCTGACCTGGGGTGGACGTCCTCGACGATTTCGAGTTTGGGTTTCAGGTTCGCAAGGTCAAAGGCCACGACAGAGTCGCGGATGGCGGCAAAGGAGACGCTGCTCGATACTTTCGCCCGGGCAATCAGCAGGCCGACTCTGCGGCCAGAGCAGGCGCCGCCCTCCGCCCCAGAAGTTGCGAGGCCGAGGAGAGATTCACGGATGCTCGCCAACTTGCACAGGTGGTTGGCAAGTACGCTTGGGAGACCCCTCTACACCTTCCCTTATCCCCAGCAGGATGGCACGAGAGCCCTGGAGCGGGAAGCGCTTCCTGCGCCCATGCGCGGCGCCCAGGCCGACGGCCGCCACGGCCTTGCGCAGGCGCGCGGGGGGCATCGCTGCACGCGGCGCGCGCGCGGCGGCCTTGCCCCGTCGAGCCCCCGGCCGAGCGCGGGGCCGAGGGGGGGCGGCGCAGGCGGCGGACGGTGCGCCACCCTGTGTTCTGCAGCGCTTGCGGCAGCGATTCTCGCCAGAGCGCCGCCCCCTAGCCGCGTCGCGCTCGGGGGGCGTCGTGCGAGGCCTGGCCGCGGCGTTTCGATTCAATCGTTCATGGGAGTCGCGAGGCCCTCGGACTGGCCAGCCGCTCACGGGCGATCGGTCGACGCCGCCGGGTTCGCTCGCATGTGATTCGCGTCTCGGGGGCGCGTTGGACCCTCCTGGCGGGTCCGCTGACCGGGCCCAGGGGGGCGACAGAGTCGCTCTCGACGTTTTCGGCTAGGCGGTCGGCTTGGCCGGCTCAGCCAGCTTTGGCCGCCCTCGCTGCCCCCTTCTCCTCGCCCCCTCTTGCCTCCGAGAAAGCTCCAAGTCCACCCCAGTATCCCTCCTGTCCATCCTCCGCGAGATGAGTAATTATCACGATGCACATGCGGCCTCAAGACAGTAGGCCTCGCAGGCCACGCTCAGCACAGCAGGTCCAGTTCGCCGGGCAAAAAGCCCCCCCGCGCTCTTCTCGCCCAGGCGAAGGAGGAGGAAGAGCACGTGGACGAGAAGAGCGCGGAGGAGGAGGAGGAACAGACAGATTTGGAGGAGAAGGATTGATTGATCACTTCGCTAGAAGTCCTCGCAGCAACTCAAACAACGGCGCCAACCCCTCCCAGCTGCGCCAGCCGCGCCTGATTGGGCGGGGCCGAAAGACGCAAGATGGGAGAATCGACGACACGATTCAAACCATTACAGAGGCGAGGAAAACACGCGTCAAAATGGCAACCGCCTCCCGTTTCAGCCGATCGGTTCAGGTGACCTCTGAGCGATTTCCCTTTGCGCGCCAAGTTCCCGCTAACCCTCACGTGCCCTCACTTGCCCTGACCTTTCTCCGCGTCCAATCACGAGGACTCGGCAAGCGGCACCAGCTCTTCAGTGGGCATCCCACCCCGTTTGTGGCGCGCGCAGCCCGCGGCTCATGCGGCTAAGATGGGACGCGAGGTGGGCGGAAGACGCGCCAGCTATGCAGCTCCACGCCGGCAGGCCTACGCGGACCCCGACCACTGAAGGCCCAACAACCGATGCACATGACAATTTGGGCCCCATCAGGGGCGCCAGTGAAGAACATGCGATGCCCTATCGCCACGGTCTGCAGCATGACGCTCGCCTCTGGGCACCCCGTCGACGGCGCAGGAGGGCCCGAATGGGCCCGAACAAGGCAGCGCATGCATGCCTGCCTGTCTCGGATCCACCCAAACTGGGGCCCGCGAGCGGGCGGCGGCATTCCCCCCCCCCCCCGCGCGCGCTGGGGCGAAGCGGGGGCCTGGAGGGGTCGAGGGAGGGAGGGGCCGGCGGGCGGTTCCACCCCGCGGCCCCCCAGGCAGTGTTCCCGGGCCCGCCGCAGGCCCACTCGCTGGAAGAAGAGGCCCACTAGAAGAGTTGCCACTCCCCGCGCTTGGGGGGGAAGGGCGTGGAGGGCGTGGGGGAGGAGGGGCCCTCCTCCTCCTCCTCCTCCCTCCTCCTCCTCCTCCTCCTCCTCCTCCTCCTCTTTTCCTCCTCCCTCCTCTCCTCCTCCTCCTCCTCTCCTCCTCCTCCTCTCCCTCCTTCCCTCCTCCTCCTCCCTCCTCCTCCTCCTCCTCCTCCTCTCTCCTCCTCCTCCTCCTCCTCCTC